TCAATATTCATATTCGTTTATTAAGAGTTGTCTTGTGATGGATCCTGAAAAACGTTTTACATGTGCACAATTATTACAACATCCGTATTTTGATGGATTTAGTAACGAATTTGAACGTGAAAAAAAAGAACAACAAAAACATTTACATCGTGAACAACAAAAACTTATTCAACAACAACCAAAATTACAAAATTCAGTGTATTCTCAAAGTAAACAACAGGCTCAAGGCGTAAGTAATATTGATAATTAAATGATATAATTTAAAATTAATTTCTTTATCTTGACGAATTATGTGATTGATCTAGATTGAATAGTATAATTATGAAATTTATTTTAGCATTTTCCATCATTATCTCGTAACCAGGAACATGAAGGAAACAATACACCGGCATCTGATGAAAGAGGGCGAAATTTTCATTTGCCAAATATCTAAAATCTATTTATTTTCCGTAAATATGGTTGCTCAGTTATAACTTTTAGAAAATATACACCACATTTTTTGGCGAGTTTTCCCACTTATATTTTTGTTGTGCTTCAATTATTTTGCTGAAGAAAAACTATTTATAACTTACACAGATCTTTTTGCACTAAAGTGTATTTTCACACATTATTCACTGTTGCATTTTAGAGTGATTTTTATTTCAGGAATTCAAAAAAAAGAATATATTATTGACTAGGTTGGTTGTGACGCCTAGAAATGGTTTTCGATTCATCGTCTTTTTTTCTGAAAATCTCTTATAGAAGCGAGAAAATCATATAAAATTGTTGAAAAATTAGCCAAAAAAATGATAAAATAAATCTCCTCCATTTATTAATAAGAGTCTTGATGTGTCTACCCTTTGTATGAGAAACTACATTTTGTTCATTCTGTATAATACAAACTGCACGGACAGATATGCAAACGTTCTCAGTAAAGAAAATAAAACTACTACCATGTAGCAAGTAAGATTTGTGTTGCCCTTTAATAGTAAGCTCACTTAATAATTTTAATTATCCATTGAAGAATTAAAGAAAATGGGCACCAATATCTCTTAATCTAGTATGAGCAACAGTTATCGATGCGTACCAAAACTAGTTTTCAAGATTAATTTTTCAGTCAAAAGAGCACAGAGAGCACAGTTTATGAATTTTGCAGGTTATACTTAAAAAAAACTTGATCTTATATGATCTAACGGCAAGGTCTTGTCCATCATATAAAAGATTTTAACATATGATTTCAAAAGGAAATGATATTTCTTGTAAGGTTTTATAGGATATGTTTTTCTTTTTTTTTTATTCTCGTACTGATCACTATGTTTGAGTTAATCTGAAATAGCTTTCGAAAATTTTTTTTAAATTCGCTTAAAATATCTTTATTTCTTACAATCAGCTGTACGTACACTACATAACGAAATAATAGCTTTATGACAACTACGTCGAATTTCGATCAGATTGAAAATCGTATTTCTCTTCTGTTTTTTTACTTTAAATTTTCTTAAAACCATTTTGAAATCTTTAATTTCTCATTTTAATTAGGCAGTCAGGTGTGTGAGAGGATGCATGAAAAAAAATACAAAAAAACGCTGTTTTTTTTATATTCGCTAAGATGACATAAACAATGGCTGCTATAATTTCATTATAAATACATTTAAGTTTTATTATTCAAATATCAAAATTTCTGAAAAACATTGTTCAATTATTTAAGAGTGTATTAAACATCGCTCTGCTGTGTTAATTTCACATTTTATGTAGTCATGTTTTTCATGCACAGAATGATTATCTATGTTTTCTTTTCTTTTCTTTTCATATAGAAAATCTTACCAAGTCTCACTGGCATTACAGGTACCCAATTTGCATCAGTACATGGTCCACAAGATTTTTTATCTCAAACTCGTCCAAGTCGTTTAGAAATATATTTGGATCATGATCCACGTTTAAATATTAAACCACGTTTTGGTCAAACAAATACAAACGATTCTGATAATATGAAACCATCACCACAATCAAATAATCATAAAAGACTGGCATACGGTGATAATTTTACACATTTTCCAAATATATAATTCTATTCGAGTGAGAGAAAAAAAACAACAACTTTTTTTTTTTTTGTGTCTTTTGATCTATCTATCAAAAACTGTTTATTGTTGTTGTATATTCTTTTGACTATGTATGCGCCATGTGTATTTTTGTTTGTCGACACACGCAAACTAGTGGTACATGTATAAAGTATGTCTATTTTTTTATATTTTTGAAAATTTCTAACCACAGAAAACTTATGCCATAAAATTTTTCATTTTATACCCCCTCATGATAGTGTTCCCTTCCTCCACAACGGTTTCTATTTAAAATATCTGCAATAATAAATACATATATTTTATATAAAAAAGAACATATATTTTTTTTGTTTGGTGATTTCCGTGCAAAAAAATTAATAAAAAACTTTTAATAATATACAGTTTCTTATTCAAATGACATAAAAGCTCTTTAATGCTAGGTAAAGCAAATATTAAATTATTAAATTTAAGATTTGACTTCACGAAAAGTAAAACAAGCAAAACATGTACAACTTCTTCATTTTAATATTATTTTATAACGACTATTTTTGCTAATTTTTTTTTGTGGTATGAATTTAATCGTAATACGACAAGTAAAATACGCAAATGACTAATACCATTCGAGGTCCTTTTTTTGTCAACAACAGTTTTGATTTGATTTTGATATAAATTTGACTCAATTTTTCATTCCCTACCGGAATATATCCTTTGAATGGGAAAAAAAGATGTAATTTATGATTATATCTCAGAAATAGCGAAAAGAGGACAGTTTTTTGGTGGTATTTGTGAAATTTCGCCATCAAAACAAAACTTTATGTAACAATGAGTCCAATACTTGAATTCTTTTATGTAGATCTGTAGAAATTAAGATTAAATTTTACATGGACTAGATAGAGCAAACATTTCTGCACGTTTTAAGCTGTTTTCAAATATCAAAAATACTTTTAGTATCGGCGACAGAACGAAATTTCCAAAATGCGTGCGTGCTAGGGTCTTCTGCCTAGTAAAATTGGGTTTTCTCAATAAAAGCGGCATCTTTGACGTATAAAGCTGATATTCATGACCAGCGTACAAAACTACATTCATGCAGTTTTATGAAAATGTGAGAAAAAAAGTTTCCGAAAATCCTGGGTTAGATACCTCAGGTGTGAAAATCCTCATGTCGAAATTTTGTGAAACTACGTGGTGGATTATGTTTCAAGCATTAGTCTGACACATTTTATACCGAAATAAAATCGGAATTGTTGTTGTTGACAAAAAAAGATCCTTAACGGGACTAGCCCTGTTGTAATGATAGAAAACAAGCAGTGATGGCTGATTGTAACATTGTCAGTGTGGAGACATATTCCGATTGAGATATAGTTTGAAATTACATCCCGATCAGGATATAATTCGATATCTCCATTGGATATCAAAAAATCTATATTACCGATGAGGATATCAAAAATTTTAATTTTTAATTTGCATAAAATGATAAATTTTAATTATATGAGAGGCGAATATCCTTTTTCTTCGTTGCTCTTCCCGTCTAATGTTCCTAGCAACAGTTGTAATTCACTTATAAAAAAACATAAGGTAGTTTATCTGGACGAATGAATAGTTGGAAATTTCACCGTTAAATACAAAGCACGTGCACTTATATATTCTCGAAGCATCAGAAAAGAAATGTGTGTATCGAAAAGGGAGAAACAGAAAAGATAGTCGGTGTGGAGAGCGATTAGATTGTTTGACAGGTAGTTCTTTTGCTTGCCCTACACTTTTGGCCGCCAGCCAATCCAGGATTTTTGGCCACTTGATGATCGCTTTGCAATACAACTAAGATTTAATCCAATGAGTTAGATACATAAATCAAGTCCATTTTTCGTGCTCTTTCCAAATAGGACCTTAAAAATTGGAAAAAAAGATGCAGAACATGGTCAAAATTTGAAAATACCTCAAAAAGTAGGTAAATCCACTATTAAATTTAAGAGCACGAAAAATAGACTTGATCTATGTATCTAACTGATTGGATTAAATCTTAGTTGTATTGCAAAGCGATCATCAAGTAGCCAAAAATCCTGGATTGGCTGGCAGCCAAAACCGTAGGGCGGGCAAAAGAACCAGCTGTCAGAAAAAGGTTGTTTTTTCATTTCCAAGAAAGTTTTCGTACAAAACGAACCTGACATTCGTAATCAGCATGAAATTCTGCATTGCATGATATATCCTTCAAAGAAATCGTGAATAAACAGATTTTCGATGTTTCAAGAGCGTCATAGGGACGAAAAATGTTCGAGAAAAATCAAAGTCATTTTTCGAAAGAACAAAAGACGTCACAGAATTCAATGCTGATTTCGAATATATGATATTTTTTCGAAAACAGCGTGGTCAAAAAAATGGCCTCATTGCAACTGCCCTAGTGAAAGTACTCGTGAGAAGTAGTAAGTAATGGTGAGGTCAATTTCTTCCCATAACGTCGTGGTTTTTCCCTTAATCGTTCTTACGACAAAATTTTGTGTCTTATATCCCGATCAGGATATAGGGTTGTCGCCTTACTGATTGGCGTATCCATATGAAATTCATCTTACCAAATCATGTAAGATATGCCGTTTTCTTATATAATCTTGTCGCTTCTTATGAGCTGATCTTGTGAAATCTTATGACAAAGAAGTCACAAGATCTTACACGATCTTGCAGGAGGGGATGACTCCCTCTTACCACATCATTTTTACTACAGTATCTAGTATATACAACGTCATTCCTATGACTGAACTTTTTCTTTAACTTCACACACCAACTGTACACGAAGAAGTTGCATGGCTATAAAGCACATGGTCTAACATGGTCCTAAGAACATAAGAGTCCGGCAAACGCTAGAATTACCAAAAACAGGATGTAGAAGGAATCCGTAGGCAGGATCAGGCACATAATCTTGCTAAATCTTGTCCCTTCTTGCACGATCATACAAGATCTTCAAAGAAACATCTGAAATCTCAACATCGCTTTGCCCCACAAAATCAAAATATTAATTAGCAACGTTGCAAATAATTCTTTGTTTGCCTTGAATTGTTTTATAAGTCATTTTTTCTAGGTTTGATTTTCGATTGTATGTGTACGATTAAAACGACTGTTCACACGAATACAACGTGAAAGAGGATAACAGATGAGTACCGCAGTGTTCAGTTTTTTTTCAAGTTTTCTTCAACAATAGCACAAAAAAAAATCATATAAAAATCATAGCCGTCGTCTGAAATATTATTTGTTACTGTATTTATTGTTATCTATGTGTTTTCTGTTGAAAAAATAGATAAAGATCTAACATAAAAGTTATGCAGCTATTTTTGAATTACTCTATGAAAAAATGAATCATCCGATTCCCATTGCTTTTTATCCCTTTCTCCGATTTTCCGAGATTTCTGTTCGAACTGCATATTTTACGATTGGCAATCCTGTGACAAACCCAGCACCGAAAATACAATGTCTTCTCTGTTCCGCATTTTTCCTTTCTAGTTTTCTTCTAACTAGTTCTAGTTCTAACCTCTTTCCAGTTTTGAACAAAAAGTAGCCATCTATAACTGCATTTCTTTTTTTGAAAAACGACCTTTTGTCTGTCCGGTTCATTTTTCAATGATGTTTTTGTTGAATACATGATCAATGATTCACATTGATTAATTGAACTATCCTGCCAAAACTACCTTTTATTCATTAGCTAAACATCGGCGAAACAAATCAAGTATTGAATTATAGCAAAAATATTTGATATGATCAAAATATTTTTGACTATTACCATGAAAACGTAGCTATTCTGAAAGAATTAGTGATATTTAAAATGAATGTGGATGAATTGTATCGACAACCTTAAATAGATACTTCGAAACATAAGAGAAACAATGTATTCCCTTGAACTTTTGTATAATCGACTAATAAACTCTAGCATTTTTGAATAATCCTTTTTCTAAAACTGATCGCTCTGACTATAACATTTTCTAAGATGGTATATAGATCTATTGTCTGTAAAAAAATAAAGCACGTCACTATGTTTTGAATATCTTGAGCATGAAATGTGGTAGAGAGTCCGAAAGATTTCTGCAAAAACCTATTAATAAAAATATGCTTTTTCGATTTTTTCGACCTTGTAATGACGTTTATCAGGCAACATTCATCCTATACTGAAGTTTCAATATCAGTTCCCAAAATGAACAGTGCTATCAGTTTCAGCGTGGACAATTACGTATGTTCCATCCGATTTCAAGACTCCCTGAAGCCACTGGATACCAATCGTAAGGCTCCAAGGAAACTGGCACTACTGGAAATTAAGGTCTCGCTTGACTCCCGTTTTGAAGAGGACACTTTGAATTATCTGTTCATCAAGAAAAATGAAAGTATTTGTACTTGAAGTTTTTGAGCTATGAGTTGGTTTTCCAAGGATCTCCTCAAAAACCTACTTTAAAAAACTATTTTCGAATTAATATCTGTTATGAAAATGTCCTCCAGAATCTCTTCTTTTGAATGGTAAAAACCCAGACTCTTTATCACATTTCATTCTCAAGATATTCAAAACATAGTCATGTACCTCATTTTTTAACAGACAATAATTGCAATAGATTTAGCTTTATTACAATAGTAGATCAGAATTTTAGAAAACTACTGCAGTGTACAGTTAAGGGGGACGGGTCCCCCACCCGTTTTTTACCAGTTTGTAGGGGGCACTTCGGAGTATACGTCTCAACAAAGCTTTCAGTTTCCGGATTTGTAGTTTTTGATAAAAAACATTTTGAAGTTTTTTTCGGGTTTTCTGCCCTATTTTTAAAATTTCAATAAAAACTTCAGCTTTTGATATGAGGAGTTGATTGTGGCGTAGGTCGATAGAGAATATTAACTTGTATAAGGAGAAAAACTTTACATCGTTCTCAAATGAAGTTTGACGGAGAAATTTAACTTTCACCTTTATTGTTCACCAATATTTTAAATTCTCGACTTACCAGACTTACCGAGCGACCAAAAACGAATTCTAAAATTCTTAAGGTAGTCCA